TGTGCACTTGCCTTCTGTTAGTGGGCTTTCCCGGTTTTGCCAGACAGCGAACAAACGGTTCTCTGTTCTCTGCTTCTCCTTGCCGCCTTCTCCGCAGACCCCTTCCCTGCCGGCCCTGACGGCAGGCCAGTCCCTCCCAGGGCGTGTGGCTCCGCCCGCGGACCCGCCTCCCTCTGGGGTGACAGGGTGACCAGCCTCCCTCTGGGGTGACAGGGTGACAGCCTCCTTCTGGGGTGACAGGGTGACCGGCCTCCCTCTGGGGTGACAGGGTGACAGCCTCCCTCTGGGGTGACAGGGTGACAGCCTCCCTCTGGGGTGACAGGGTGACCAGCCTCCTTCTGGGGTGACAGGGTGACCGGTGATCGGCGCTACGTTTCCAGTCACATGATCTCAGCCTGTCACTACAGGGTCTCTGAAGGATGGAAGGAAGGAGGGAGGGAGGAAGGACGGACGAGGACCTTCCTCCTGAGCACTCAGTGGTTAGACCCTCGTGTGTCTAACTGCCCGGAGGTGGGGGGCACTCCTCCTCTGACTGCATCTCCATGTAGCGGGGCCTGGTGTGTGTGTGGCCGCCAGGCCCGGCACCTGCTGTGGTGGTTTCTGCCATTTCCAGGGGGACCACTTAGGGCCGGGGATGCGCCCACACCTGCTCTGCCCGTGGTCACCCGAAGTGAGGTCACAGTGAGGACTAGAGCGTGTGTCTGTCTGACTCCAGGTTCTGAACTCGGACACTGTGCCCACCACGCGGTCCGCACAGGTTGTGTCGTCCCTCGGGGAGCGGGCTCAGCGGTGCGTGACCTGCCCAGGTGCCAGCCCGTGAGAACCACGTGGGAGGGTGCAGGGGGGAGGGGGGGGTCGGGCGGCCTGTCCATCCAGTCTGTGACATCGCTGCCTAAAGCACCTTGTTTCCTCCTTTGTACCCGTCAGAGGCCTTTTGAAGCTTCCCATTAGCGCAGAGAATGGTGCCCACACACTCGGTTGCTCTGATTGCGCCAAGAGCAGAGAGGCGTGCCCTTGACCTGCTCAGCCTCCGTGCGGAAGAGGGCACAGCCCGTCAGACCCTGGAAGTGTGGGTACAGCCTGCACGGCCCTGAACAGGAGCCACATTCTCTCCGAGGCACCGGGACACCCTCCCAGCCTCCGCGGGGTCCTGGGTTGGGGGAGGAGGAGGGGCCCGAGAACCGAGGTTCCCCAGCCTGACCGCCCAGCATCCGGGCGCCTGGGGCTCTGCCCTTCCTCCCGGTGGGCAGTTACCCTGACCTCCTGGGCCAAGCGCCAAGCCCCGACTGCCGGTGAGGACCAAAACCAGGGTCCCCACCGCTTTCCTTCAGCTCCTTCCCCAGCTCCTTTCCCTCAGGAATCCCCGCCTCTGGAACAGCCCAGTGTCCCAAACTTATTGCAGCGGCGGTTTGAAGCTGAGCCTGAAGCAGGATGGGGCGGGTGCTCGCACAGCCTGGGGCGCTGCGGTGCTCGCACAGCCCCTCCTGGCGGTGTGGAGCCGGTGTCCGGCCCTGGCACCCGGGCTGAAGTCCAGGTCCTTGTTAGAGCGATTTCAGGCTTCCGACAGCCATGGCGCCGCAGTGCTGCTGCACGGACTCCAGGCTGTCCTCCACGCCGTCCTCCCCGCAGGCCCCGGGGTGGGGGCGGGGGCGGGGGCGGGCATGGCCCAGCCCGGGCTGCGGCTCCCTGAGGGAGCCGGGAGCCGCCTGTGCCCGGCCGTCACGGTAAATGCCCTGTGACTCAGTGAACCGACGTGGTGTCCGCTCGGACGGGACTGTCCGCCTGCGGGCATCGATGTGGGGGCAGGGCAGCAGCTGAGCGGACATTCTGCTGAGCAACGTGGTCCGGGGGGCGGCGTGGAGCGTGGTTGGAGGGGGAGGACCCGTGCTCCGGCGGGGTCACCGTCCGGGGTCACCTGCACCCCCGCTGCTTGTGTTCGCCTCCCCCGGGCCCTGACCGCCCCCGGGGAGCCCCTGCGGCTGCACCGGCCGCACCGGCGCCGTGCGCGCTGGGCCTCCAGGGAGCTCTGCGCCCCTCAGCTCAGCGCCCGGCCGTGGCAGCGGTCTGGGAATGGCCTGCCGTTCTCACTCTGCTTGTCCCGTCCCAGTGTCAGCACCACACCTCGGGGACGGTCACCTGCCCGGGGGTGGGGGGCGCTTCTCCTCTGACTGCGTCTCTGTAGCGGTCATTATCACTGTCGTCATTATCACTGTCGTCATTATCACTCCTCGAGAGCAGGTCCTTCTCGGATCCGAGTGCTCTTTCTGGGACCACAGACCGGGCCTCGGGTCCGAGCGTGTCTGTGCGGCAGCGTGTGCAGGCGCCGCTCACATTTCACACCGTTGTCTCTGATCCTCACCGTGGCTTCCCGGTGGGAGCTGCCAGGAGCTGTCTCCATTGTGCAGACGGGGAAACTGACGCCAAGGAGTCTGCTCCGGGCATACAGCAGGGAGGCCGGGCTGGATTGCTCCCAGGCCTGCACAGCTTCCATGCGGAGGAGGGTACGGCTCCCTTAGACCTGGAAGTGCGGGACAGCCTGCATGCCCCGAATCTGGATTGCGTGCTCCAGGCCCAGGCTCACCGCTGCATGGCACGCGGGGGCGGGTGACGTTCTGCGTTACTCTGAACCAGGAGCCGCTGGAGGTGATGCTTGTTGCGGTGTCTCTGCCCTCTGGGCTCCGTTCTAAGCAGAGGGAAGCCAGGAGGCAGGGCAGGGGCTGGGGCTGGGTTCTCTGCTTCCAGAAGAGCTGGCTGGTTGGCCTCCTGGAGGTTTCGGTTTGGGTGGCGACAGTGCCATCTAGTGGGGCAATGTAGGCATGTCAGTCAGAGTCTGTTTCTGAAGCCTTGGTGCTTGGCCTTTGAGTTCTGGGATCCCCTGTGTCAGCTGAGCTTCAGATTCCATGGCCAGAGAGTGGCTGGTGAAGTCCGGTTTGACCCCTAGAGGAGGCCACATGCTGATCCTGCCCTATGGGTGGGGGACCCTGCCGCTGGCTCCAGGAACCCCCCCAAACCCCTCCCCCGCCTCTCGCACCTGCTGGGCAGGCTGATGGCTTTCCTCCCTGAGGCTCACTCTGGGGCCATGTCTGTTTTGAAGGTGACCCTGTCCTCTGGGCCGCCTGCTGTGGCACAGCACACCCATGCCGTGCACACCCCACATGGTGCACACCCACAAGTGCACACCCCACGCCGTGCACACCACACACAGTGCACACCCCACACGGTGCACACCCACGCCGTGCACACCCACACCGTGCACACCCCACACGGTGCACACCCACGCCGTGCACACCCCACACGGTGCACACCCACGCTGTGCACACCCCACGTCGTGCACACCCCACATGGTGCACACCCATGCCGTGCACACCCACACGGTGCAGGAGGTGCATGCTGCGTACTGCAGGCCGGTCCAGGGCTGGAGCCAGGGGCCCCAGCCCTGCGTCTGACTGCGTCACAGGAGCTGCAGTCCCTGAGGCCGGGCCAGGGGGGAGTGGGAGCAGCCGCATCGCAGTGAACAGCGGCAGGAGGAGCTTCGTGGGAGGCGGTGGGAGAGGCGTGTGTGCTCAGCCCTCGCCCAGCCATGCCTGCGTCCTGATGGCGCGTTCTGGTGTCCGCGTTGGGAAAGGTGATAGAAACTGCTCCTCAGTCGCTACTTCTCGCTGGGAGGACAGGACCTAAGTGCGTGGAGACAGCTGTGCCCACAAAAGCCGTGTGCCCTGTGAGTGACAAGGCCTGGGCAGCCTCCTGCCCCAGCTCAGGCTCCGTCCCCGCAATCACCTCAGGACACAGTGATCCCAGCGCACGCACTGCACCCAGTGCGCCCAGTGCACCCACTGAGCCCAGTGTTCCCAGTGCACCCAGTGCACCCAGTGAGCCTAGTGCGCCCAATGCACCCAGTGAGCCAGTGCGCCCAATGCCCCCAGTGAGCCCAGTGCGCCCAGTGAGTCCAGTGTTCCCAGTGAGCCCAGTGCCCCCAGTGAGTCCAGTGCGCCCAGTGAACCCAGTGCCCCCAGTGACCGCAGTGAACCCAGTGCGCCCAGTGAACCCAGTGCCCCTAGTGAGCTCAGTGCCCCCAGTGTTCCCAGTGTTCCCAGCGAGCCCAGTGAGCCCAGTGAGCCCAGTGCACCCAGTGAGCCCAGTGCCCCTAGTGAGCTCAGTGCACCCAGTGTTCCCAGTGTTCCCAGCGAGCTCAGTGAGCCCAGTGAGCCCAGTGTTCCCAGTGAGCCCAGTGCTCCCAGTGAGCCCAGTGAGCCCAGTGAGCCCAGTGCGCCCAGTGCCCCCAGTGCGCCCAGTGCCCCCAGTGCGCCCAGTGCCCCCAGTGCGCCCAGTGCGCCCAGTGAGCCCAGTGTGCCCAGTGTTCCTAGTGCTCCCAGTGCGCCCAGTGTGCCCAGTGAGCCCAGTGAGCCCAGTGCGCCCAGTGCCCCCAGTGCGCCCAGTGTGCCCAGTGAGCCCAGTGAGCCCAGTGTTCCTAGTGCTCCCAGTGAGCCCAGTGCCCCCAGTGAGCCCAGTTCCCCCAGTGAGCCCAGTGCGCCCAGTGAGCCCAGTGAGCCCAGTGCCCCCAGTGCGCCCAGTGCCCCCAGTGAGCCCAGTTCCCCCAGTGCGCCCAGTGCCCCCAGTGCGCCCAGTGAGCCCAGTGCCCCCAGTGCGCCCAGTTCCCCTAGTGAGCCCAGTTCCCCCAGTGAGCCCAGTGAGCCCAGTGCTCTCAGTGAGCCCAGTGCGTCCAGTGCTCCCAGTGTGCCCAGTGCGCCCAGTGAGCCCAGTGAACCCAGTGTGCCCAGTGTCCCCAGTGCGCCCAGAGCGTCCAGTGCTCGCTGGGTGTTTTTCTACCAAATCCCTCATCTCTCCTATCCAGCGGTGCCAGTGCGCTCTGTGCACACGTCCCCGGGAACTTGCATTTCTAAAGTGTGTTGACCCCCTTCTCTGTCCCACTGCCGACCGATGACTCACAGGGGGAGGGAGGAGCTGGTCCCTAACGGCTCACATCCTGTGTCTTTCCTTAGCAGCCAGCACAGCAGCCACGAGGATGATGCCAGCAGGTTCCTGAGTCCCCAGGTGCAGGAAGAGAGGTGAGGGCGCTGGAGGGAGGTGAGGGCGCTGGAGGGAGGCGAGGGTGAGGGGAGGGAGGCGAGGGTGAAGGGAAGGAGGGGAAGGTGAGGGGAAGATGAGGGGAGGGAGGGGAGGTTGAGGGGAGGGAGGGGAGGGTGAGGGGAGGGAGGGAAGGTGAGGGAGGGAAGGGAGGTAAGAGTGACGGGAAGGAGGTAAGGTCATGGAGAGAGACAGGATGGAGGGAGGAAAGGGTAAGGGGAGGGAGGGAAGGGATGGGGAGGGAGAGACAGAGGAATGAGGTGAAACAGTAAGTGTTTAAGCTGCTTCTGCCATGAGCAGAACCGGGGGAACAGGAGTGGGAGGTGCCAGCACCTGTGGTCACAGCCTTTGAAAAAGACGCCAAGCAGTGAGGCAGCCCTGGGACGGGTGAGCCTGCGGCCGGGTCCCGGGGAGAGGTCAGCACGGGCAGCGGAGAGCGAGGGGGCTTCGGGGTGGCCGGACGGGAGGCGCACCGTGCCGGCCGGTCAGTGAGGAGGCCCCAGGACGGGTGAGCCTGCGGCCGGGTCCCGGGGAGAGGTCAGCACGGGCAGCGGAGAGCGAGGGGGCTTCGGGGTGGCCGGACGGGAGGCGCACCGTGCCGGCCGGTCAGTGCCAGTGTGAAGGCACTCTGATGCCGAGTCAGGTTAAGGCGGACAAGGCCGGGTGCGGTGCGGTGAGAGCTCGGGGACGAGGTGAGGGGAGACGGTGAGCCCTGGGCTGCGGCCGCGGTGGGCCTGTGCCTCAGGCGGGCTGGGATCGCACAGTGAGCTGAGCCGAGCAGGCGGAGGCCGCGGCTGCGGGGCCTGGGGCCAGCTCTGCCCTCCGGACGGAGGAACGGTCCTTGCTCCTTCTGTCCCCGCAGGGCGCACGCAGCCTCGCAGGAGGGAGACGGGCGGGAGAATGAGGCTTCGTGCGGTTTCAGAGAGAACGTGGGCAGGAACGGGGACTTGCCTGTTGGAAGTAGATGTGCTGTTATATGCCGCCCGTTTCTAAGTTTATATTCGCTTATTAAGCGGCGGATTATTACGGGGAGCCAACCCGGTGGCAGCAGTTTTGAAAGGATTTCGTGTGGAAAGAATCTGTGGGGGTATTTACCAACCAGAACACAGTGCCAGCCGGTGATGGAAAGCCTGGTTCCTGCCGGCGGCCAGAGACAGGGTCCCCTCTGCCCGCACCCGTCTGACCGTGTCCGGGCGATCCAGGCGGAAATGGAAACGGACCAACGAGAGCCAGAGACAAGGGACGAGGCGGGAGCGAGGCCATTACAGGATCGGCTGCGGGAAGGGTTTGGCCGGGAAACAGGGTGGTTCGGGGTGACTCGCTCAGCACGGAAGCCTGGGAAAGGGAATCAGCGGGAGAAAGGGCAGCGAGGGGTCCGCACAGGACACCGGGTGCTCTGGGCTGGGAGGCCGCCCCGTGGACACCCGTCCTGGGCCCGCAGGGGGCCTGCCCGCCTCTGCCGTTTGTAACGGTGTGAGCGCCCCTCGCCCTCGCTGTTCATCTCATTACTGCCCAGGGTTCAAGCTGAGCTCGTCAGTTCAGACGGAGCGTCTGCGGCCCCGGCCCCAAGGAGCCGGGCCCGCCTTCCTGTTAAGACCCAGTCCTGGTCCGAGGCGCTCCCTCGGGCTTGAGGGCGGTGTTTCAGATCCCCGCAGCGGCAGCCGTGCTGTCAGAATGCGGAGGGCCCTGTTCGAGCGCCCACCGCTCCAGAGGGACCCCGTTCCCCGCGGGGGGCCGGGGCGCCCGGGAGAGGGCCGGGGCGTCCAGGAGAGGGCCGGGGCGCCAGGAGAGGGCCGGGGCGCCCGGGAGAGGGCCGGGGCCTCCAGGAGAGGGCCAGGGTGCCGGGAGAGGGCCGGGGCCTCCGGGAGAGGGCGCCCGGGAGAGGGCCGGGGCCTCCGGGAGAGGGCGCCCGGGAGAGGGCCGGGGCCTTTGGGAGAGGGCCGGGGCGCCCGGGAGAGGGCCGGGGGAGAGGGCCGGGGCGCCGGGAGAGGGCCGGGGCGCCGGGAGAGGGCCGGGGCCTTTGGGAGAGGGCCGGGGCGCCCGGGAGAGGGCCGGGGGAGAGGGCCGGGGCGCCGGGAGAGGGCCGGGGCGCCGGGAGAGGGCCGGGGCCTTTGGGAGAGGGCCGGGGCGCCCGGGAGAGGGCCGGGGCGCCGGGAGAGGGCCGGGGCGCCGGGAGAGGGCCGGGGCCTTTGGGAGAGGGCCGGGGCGCCCGGGAGAGGGCCGGGGCGCCGGGAGAGGGCCGGGGCGCCGGGAGAGGGCCGGGGCCTTTGGGAGAGGGCTCCGGCTGCCGTGCACCTTCCTCAGCGAGCCTTTCCTCCGGAGAGAGCGTCCCCCAGCCGCTCATCCCGCAGCCGCTCGGCGCAGCCCGCGCCCCGGCCCGCCATCCCTTACCCCGCTCCCACCGCTCCCACCGCTCCGGCGGCTCTGACGCTGGCTGTGAGCGTGACACCTGAGCTGGGGAGAGTTCAGCCGCACGTGTGTGTGTGTGTGTGTGTGTGTGGATGTCTCTCTGTGTGTGTCTGTGTATGTATCTCTCTGTGTGTGTCTCTCTGTGTGTGTATGTGTGTCTGTGTGCGTGTCTCTCTGTGTGTGTATGTGTGTCTGTGTGCGTGTCTCTCTGTGTGTAAGTATGTGTCTGTGTGTGTGTATGTCTCTGTGTGTGTCTCTGTGTGTATCTCTCTGTGTCTTTGTGCGTGTATGTGTGTCTGTGTATGTGTGTGTCTGTGTGTGTCTCTGTGTGTGTATGTGTGTCTCTGTGTGTCTCTGTGTGTGTGTGGATATGTATGTCTGTGTCTGTGTGTCTCTGTGTGTGTGTGGATGTGTGTCTGTGTGTGTATCTCTCTGTATCTCTGTGTGTATGTGTGTATGTGTGTGCATGTGTATGTCTGTGTCTGTGTGTGTCTGTGTGTGTGTGTCTATGTGTGTGTGTCTATGTGTGTGTGTATGTGTCTCTGTGTGTGCATGTGTATGTCTGTGTGTGTGTCTATGTGTGTCTGTCTGTCTGTGTGTCTGTGTGTTTGTGTGTGTGTGTCTGTGTGTGTATGTGTATGTCTGTGTCTGTGTGTCTCTCTGTGTGTGTGTATGTGTCTCTGTGTCTGTGTGTGTGTGTCTGTGTGTGTGTGTGTGTGTCTGTCTGTCTGTGTGTCTGTGTGTGTGTGTGTGTCTGTCTGTGGGTGTGTGTCTGTGTGTGTGTGTGTGTATGTCTGTGTGTGTGTGCATGTGTATGTTTGTGTGTGTGTGTGTCTGTGTGTGTGTGTGTGTGTCTGTGTGTGTGTGTGTGTGTGGTTCAGGCTCTTTGCTCTGAGCCTATCTGACGGGCACTGGGCCTGCTGGCTCAGACATTCCTGCTGGCGGCCTTCCTGTTTTGTCTCCTCCCCTTGGCCACTCCCCCTGGGGGCAGGAGAGCGGGGCCACTGAGGGAGCGAAGTGGCCAAGTCGAAGGTGGGTGATGGGACCCTCTTCAGCGGCTGCTCTTGATTCTCGAACGCTGAGATCACTTAAGGTGAAGCACAGTTTCACAGGTCAGGCAGAACACAGTTATCATAGGTTTTTTTCTCTTTTAAAAATCAAAACCTCAGTCCTTCGGAGTGGGATGAACTGTAGCATTGGTTGTTCTTGTTCCTGTGAGAGGTCAGAGGATAGGATATTTGGAGCCGGAATCGCTGTCCTCCAGAAATCTAAGAATGTCCGCATGCAGCAGAGGGGCCGTCTCCCGAGGCGCCCGGACCGAAGGCTTCTGGGAACTGATCCTTGCCCACACCGGCTTCTGTGCTGACGGGAAAGCCTGAGGGGTGTGATGGGCGGAGGGGCGCTTCCTGAGCAGCTGGGCATCGGGGAGGAGGGCTGATTTTAGGAAAACAATCAACTTATGGGACTGTGGGATGTCTCAGAGAGAGGAATAATCCCTGGATTTCCAGTAGAGAGCAAAATAGATCTAACTTCCTAAGGCATGTATACGCGTGTAATGGAACATGGGACTTTGGTCCTTTTTAACCTTCTAAGTAGAGTCTGGGGTACACGTGAAAAACATTGGTTCCCAGAGTCAGCCCAAGCTGGACCAATTATTAGGGTTTTTCAAGGTGCCAGATTTTTATTTAGTGCATCTATCTGCTGGTAGGAACTTGCAGACAAAGCCGGAGTGTAGGAAGGGAGCTGTTCTCCTGGGGTGTTTTTGTAACCGCTAGAGGCCCAGTGCACGAAACTGGTTCATGGTAGGGCCCCTAGGCCTGGCTGGCGATCCGGGCTGATAGGGGCCTTCCTTTGTTCTGCACTGCCCCCCGGTGGTCAGACATGTCATAGAGAGCCATCGAACTTTATTCTCCTGGTTGAACTCCTGAGGGGACACTTTGCATATTAGCCTTTATAGATGTATGCTTCAACAGAGGAGGGAGCAGCGAGCCAGGAGGCCCTTAGGTGCGGGAGAGTTGAGTCCCGGGGGGGGGGGGGGGCAGGGAGTGCCGAGTGCAAGCAGGGCCTCGTGCGTGATCCACAGCTCCCTCCTGCAGGCGTGCGTGCGCATCCTGGGAGCCTGCGGCGGCAGGAGGCAGGAGGCAGGAGGCAGAGGCTCGCTCTCGGGGGCTCCGTGTGGGCTGGAAAGGTCAGACCAGCTGGGTGTTTGTACCTGCTTCCTTTCTCACTATGCCTTTTTTTTAAAAATATATTTTATTGATTTTTCATGGAGAGGAAGAGAGAGGGACAGAGAGTTAGAAACATCGATGAGAGAGAAACATCGATCAGCTGCCTCTTGCACATCCCCTATTGGGGATGTGCCCGCAGTCCTTGACCAGAATCGAACCCGGGACCTTTCAGTCCACAGGTCGACGCTCTATCCACTGAGCCAAACCGGTTTCGGCCTCACTGTGCATGTTTAAAGGCAACTCACTCAGCCTTCCTCCCCCGTTGGTTCCTCATCTATAGAAAGCCTTTCGTGCAAAGAATAAGTGAGAGCGCCTGTAAGTGCCTGGCGGCTGCTGGCCCTCAA